AAATGGCAGTAAGTTTCAAGTTTTAGAGTTTCTTTACACAGAACATAAAATTAAAGTTAGTATTTAGTTTATTGCGCATAATTTCGTATCCTCAATCTCATTTACACTTCAATGCCATTATCTTAATATTACTACTCTCGTCTACAGCTACTGGGCTATGTAAAGTAATACGAGTCCTAGTAATATTATGGTTATGACCAAGTTATTATTTTATTTATATTTTATATAAACATAAAAGTTTGACTGCATCGTTTAATTTTACACCCGGGTCGTGCAAGTCGATATTTAGATTTTGTTTTCGAAATTCTCTTGTATCTGGAATTGTTGATTTTTTGTAATTAGACTTAGAGTATATTTGGATAAACCATATGTAATATTCATGTCTGCAACATTTTTCGTACAATATTATGTTTCTTAAGTAATTTTTAACATTTTAATGAGAGAGAGTGTGTAGAAGAAGATGTGCAACACTCAAAAGAAGATGTACAATCACAATAACAAAACCTAAAAGACCTTTCTTCTAAAAATTGTAGGTGCACTGTCTTTTCTAGTACACAAATTGAATTGCGAATTTGTTAAAAATCTTACTGAGTAATTAGAGATCTATAAGACTTCGTCAATTCGCAGAGTATGTTCTTTCATTTCTTAATTCCTAGTTAGATCCTACTCCTCCTAATTTACTTCATTAGTCATACGTTTAACTCTACAAACAAACTTGCAAAAGACTGATGTTTCAGAAGATATATATATATGTCGGAGATACGCTACCGGTGGGTCGCGACATTGTCGAATCACACTAAATTATTGATATTAGTAAGAACGCAGGAAGTTTAGCGGGGAGTAACCCTTCTAGCTGCCGCCACCACCGCGATCCTTTCCAAAAGTGTTTCCCGCGCTCAGTGACGTCTGTCAACGTCATTTGCTGTCAAATGTCAAAGTCTGATTAAACTTCCGGATCGATATTTCCATCGGTGTTGCCATTACTCCGCGCTAACCATCCTCAAGTAATTACTTGACGTTCTCAAACAATAGTTGCCACATCTAAATTAATTGATATGCGTTGACGCTTCGACATATACAAATATAATGTTGTGGCCATTTTTAATATCGTACTGGAGATTTTATAGTCCGTCTCAGCAACACGCGAGGTTATGTATCAGGCCCGCAGAATAAAAAAACCGAATTAGACATAATGATCTAAGAACTTAGTTCAGGATTTACATTTAATTAAGTATCTGGTTAGATTCTATTTTAGTTTTTACAAAGGCTTTAGGCACTGTTTACGACGTATCTATGTAGGTGCTAAAAATTTGTAATACCTACTTTTAAAAATAAATATGATATATATTTATATATTCATAAATAGTTAGTTAATTTTCTACATTAAAAGTTATTAATCAAACCTTCATACATGTATTGTTAAATTATAAAAACAATGCAAAATATCTAGCGACAACTGTCGCAAAAATTTTAGCGACGGGGAAAATACAGTCAGCCGTAGGCATGACACTTCCGTGTTAGGTGTATTGAGCATAACACATATAACTTGAGATATAATTGAAATAACCGACTAATTATTTATTTTATCATGATATATTCGAAAATGTATACCTATGTAGGACCTATATGTAATATTTTAAAACTTAGCTTAGCCTAAACAAAAGCTTAGCTACTACTTACTCGTCCAAATTTAAAACATGGTAAAAGATTATATTGTGTTAAATAGCAACAACAATTATAATAATTATACATAATTATTTAATGTATCAATAATTGCGTAACTTCCGTGAAAAGAAACCCCAAAAGTTACCTAATTCATTATTTATTTAAAAGCTTAAAGCTTAAATATACTCGTACCTACACGCAACACGGCCCTTTGTGTGTAGTATACAACCTTCATAAAAACAATAAAGGCAACTTGATAATACAATGGCTGGTCAAAATTACTATTGTCATAACATTTATTTGTCGTTTATTATACGATACCATTTCGTGACATTCAAAAGTGACATAACATAACATCGCGGCTTTTTAAAGCAGAGGTGTACATTACTGCACTTAATGCCGCTGTACAATGTAACACCCACTTTTTACTATTTATGTTAAAGTCCCATAATAGGGGGTGAGCCTATTGCCATATACCAGGCAAAATTCCAGACTCCGTGCTACTACTGGGATTTTTTTTAAACCCAGTAATACCCATTCAAAAGTATACATTAGGAAATACAAGACAATATTAAAATGTTGATGAGTTTGAGCTGTAGCTGTATTAATTAGTCTTTCTGAATTTTCAAATAATAATAGATAGTAATGGATCGGAGTTCCATTTTTACCTTATAGGGCAATACGCTTAACCGACTACAATAAGACTTATTACATAACTGGTATATACTTAATACTGTATATGTTAACAGTAACAATGTAAAGTACATCCCTACCTGCCCTTACGGGGATTAAAAAAAATGTCGTTATGAAATGAGAAAATTAAAAAATATACACACTCAGTAGAATTAGAGTAGAATTCTATATTTGTTTAATAGTATTTAAAAATAAACTCGAATTTCTAAGTCTATGATTCTATAAGTCTATTAAGTCTATGAATGCTTTATAGTACTACACAGGATTATCAAAACAAAGTTGCTTTTTCTGTTTGTCCCTATGCATGCTGAGGTCTTTAAAACAACGCAACGAAATTTAATACCATCTTTTTTATATAGAGTGATTCAAGCATGCATAATATAAATAGAGAAACACTAAATATGTAGTAGATCTATACGCCTATAAATAAAGTAGAAACACATACTGAGGTAAATTAAATTATTCGTATATACTAATAAAGTGTATTTTTGCTTCATTGCTTATTAATTTCCTTTCACGGTATATTAATTAGACAAGAATGTGGAACCACCTCTTTGTAAGTAATTATCAGGTTTATAGACATATTATAGGTGTACTTTTAATGAAGTAATACTTAAGTTATTTAATTAAAGTAGGTACAACATTGTACTGTGTAATTACCTTATATTGTGTACTGGTCTTTGCACATAATAATATGAGTATAGGCTAAGTATTTATATTGAGTATAGGTTTAAGTAGTTGTAAAATATCTATATATATAAAAATGAATCTCTATATCACTTGGTCACGCCATCTCGCTGGAACGGTTGCACCGATTTCACTACTTTTTGTGTTTTTAATTGTCAGGAAAATGTTCTTATGACAGAAAAAAAAAATCCTACGGGAACCGGAGAAAACGGGATTGCGCGTACGAAGTCGCTGATAGAACCTAGTTAGTTATAAATATTCCTAATTCCAATGCACAATTTAAATAAAGTGTATTATACACCTAGCATTGTCTAGGCTAATTTATTTACCATTCCACATTGTCATATTTAGGCTAATTATGGATTATGAATATTGTTAGTCTTATCATTATGTACCTACAGTTGTGATTGAATAAGTATTTTAAAGAATTTTTATCCCACATTAAAATTTCTAAAGTATTATGCAATAAAAAGTATCAATTTATAAACAAACGTCAATATGAACTGGAAGCTCATACATACATACATACATCATACATGTTTAGTTACTGGAAGCTGCATTCAATGTAAAAAAAGATATAATGATAATATTGTCCATTAGTAAACTCAAATTACTGCCAATACGTCGAAGTAATCCACGTATTAGTTCATTACAAAGTCGTTGTATCTATGAATCGATTATAAACGCATTACATTTGATCCTATTATAGTTTTTTATACCAATAGTATGTAAATAGGTTTTAATACAACTTTGTTTTACCAGTTCGTATATTTATGTTGTTCGTCCAAATAATGAGAGCAAGATTAGTTTTAAAAAAATGGAGTAATTTACTATAAGTTATATTATTTAGCAATTGGGTACTTTTATTAATTAAAAATAAATTATTTCGTCTGTTCAATACAATAAAACAAAAAATTATAAAAAATAATCACACTTGCATTGGTTGATTTATGACAAACTTAATTTTAGTATTCTTCCAGTATTTTTTTAAAAAATACGTAAAAAAGAGGCTGCTTTACGAAAAAAAAAACTTAGCGACACAATTCACAATCTTGTGCAAAATTCATAGAAAACTGTCGTTTTTGACTGTCCGAAAAAAGTATTGAATATGACCAGTTGCCAAATATTGATTTTTAACTAATTAAAACAATGTAAGATGGGTTACATAAATTGAGAGTACAACACGTGTTTTTATTGAATTAAATAGGTAATAAAAGTACCTTCTATTTATTTTAGTGGTATTTTGTGCATGTTTAGGTACTCCTACTAAACTGATTAGATATTGAGTATAATTAATCATAATAACCAAGGAATGTTACCTGATTGCTATTGTAGTATGTAATGTATTATATTACTTTAAACCTAATTAAGATGACAATAAGTATCGATTTGACTCCTATTAAAACTTACTATGGTTATCGTTTATTTTTGTAGCTTGTTTACATGTCACGTTCTATTGCGTAAGTATTTTAATATGTAATAGAAAAAATGACTTATTAAATTGTCAATTGCCTAACATTAAAATGGCAGCTATACTTAGTTTACTATTCAGAGCCTATTATGTTCTACAGTAAATGTATTTTATTCAGAACAATTAGTTTTATTAAAATACCAATCATAACCTTTTCATATTATCCTAACGTCTATATGAATTCTATATTAAAAATAATTACACTGATTAAAAATTAATTTGGTTATCAAATCTAACACGCTTTATAATTTACGATTAATGTGTGTTTGTGTCACGTATCGATTAATTTCTAGTAAACAACTTTCTCTGATTTCGCTCAATATTTGAATTAATTAATATTTTGGTATTTTATCATATGCACTAATGTGCTTGTAGATTGGTAATAAAAACTTAAGAAATGACCTTGAATACATGTGTCTTAGTGATCATAACATAGGTTATATAATTAATATGATAAGGATATTATGCAAACACAAAAGCTTACTTGCAGTTTTAGTAGAAATCCAGTCTTCATTAAATCGATGTACGCATGAAAAAAATCACTTAGTTTTATATAGAAGCACAAGAAAATATGAAAACACTTCACTGAACATATACATATGTATCTAAAATAAATTTCAGTATCCTCATGTAACTAGAGCAATTAGTATCACAGGTGTTGGCGCATCGTTATAACAATCTCGTGTCGGGTTCACAGCCGCATTCTGCGCTATCAGGCCGGCTCGTTGGTAACATAAGTTTTTTGGACAAATTGTCACGCAACGATTTTTTCTCGTAACGATGAAAGGCTTCGCGACGTGTGTCCACTGACTCCGCTGAGGCTCTCAGCATGACTGCGGGCTCCCGCGTCGCCGCCCCTCGACACAGCCGACATACTGCTTCTTAGAAAATATTTTGTCCGGACCGGGCCCCAAGGCGCGAACGCAGCCCTGCACGCCGGCAGAAGGGCGGGACACCGTAAACTTTTTCACCCAATGGTACCGAACTCGACGTCAAAATCATCAATGTACATCCGTCTCGCTCTAGCGCCTTTTATAAAGTGTTGTTCGAAAGGGAGACACGATACTCGGCGAGCTCATAACGATGGTATAACGAAGAAAATTTCTTTGTGTTTGTGTCGTAATGTGTTCGCTTTATCAGATTTACGTTGAAAGCTCGCTGTTAGCTTTCGAGGGCGCCAGATCGAGGCTCTCTGTCAGACGTAGCGCACCGGTTGAATGTGTGAGAGGGACGCACATTGCCCGGGAAATGTTTCGGCTAATGTATTTTCCTGTGGGAAGAAAAACACATGTCGTCGCTTTTAATTTAATACGCGTCACGCTGCGTCCTCGTGTCGCCCGGACCAAGTGCCTCGTTTTGTTTTTCGAGACATTTTATTTCAGTTATTATAAATGTTGTGTCAAATAAATATTATTATTATTTCAGTACACAAGAACTGAAAATGTTAAATCTCACAACTATAAAATAATACTTGATCTCTATACTTTAGATTTGTTAAACTTTAATGAAATTAAATTTCATTTCAATTTTATTTTTACCACTAAAATATCTATGTCAATAGCATTTAAAATAAAACTTCTTAAACTTATTTTATACTCGAACTATTTTTTTTTAATTATTTAAATAAAACTAGTTGCCACGAATAATCAAAATTTAATTTGGGCTGCTACAGCACAACCATCAGCAATTAAAATTGTAAACATACTACAGTTCGAGTCGCGCCAAAAATAATTAACTTAATTAATTTGACGTACCGAGCGTAGTCGGTAATTATTTTAGTAAAAAGTCGCATGCGCACGGCGGGGGCGGGCTTGCGCGCCGCTATTGGTTGGCGAGCAGGTTGCCGGGCGCACGCACCGCCCCGCGCACTCCTGCGCACACTTTTATTTTTATCAACATTTATTTTCATCCGGCGCACGAACACTCGTGATTAATTTAATATATTTTTATCGACTAACTTTTCTCACGCAATACGCTTTTTGCGATATTTACCTGTATCGATTCGATACAAAACGTTTTTATATCGGACCACTTGTGCGGTTTGTTCACTTCGTTAGAATTAAATCAACGTTTTGTGAGAGGACCACATTCCTCCTATTAGTGTCGCACTGGTACTTACTGGAAAAACCGCCCGCTACATCCGCTTCGTGAGGCTGAAGGATTGTGCTCACTAATTTTTTGTCACCATTACGTTACTGCCTTACATAAATATTTATTTAGTAGAAATACATCTTATAGCAACACCTTCGTTCGAACAACCGGTAAAAAATATGAGTACATTAGAAAAATACTTGAGTCGCAGTAATGATTGCTTATGTGATTTTAAATTACAGCAATAACAGAAGGACGGCACAGTGGGGCTCCAGGTACACACACAATGCCCTCCCCGCGTGTGTTGAGGGTTTTAGATATTTCATTAAAATAAATAACGTTATTATTTATTTGGGTGTTTTTCGGCAGCGATGCAAGCTACAAATTATGCGGACAATACCTCGGCGGGACACCGCTATTATTAAATGTAGCCCACCAGATGGCGCTGTACTCCCCTGCCCTCTGCCCTAGACTTACAAACAGTATTAAAAATTTGTTCTATTAATCCCTAAATTGGTAAAACATCGGAGTTTTAATTAAAGATTAGTGAAAATTAATTTATGTGAAGCAACAACTGCTTGTTATAGGGGTAACAATCGTCAAGACAATTTTAATTTTAAAGATATAACAATATTCTTGTCTCCAGTAAGTATTATTGAATTTTTAGTACTCGGACTCTCTAAAGAATAGAAAAATGGTATCTTTAATTCATCCATTATTTGGTGAATAGCCCTTATTTTAACGGAACCAGTAGAGACAATAACTGATGAAAACTGAGTCGCTAAAAGCAACTCTGCTCTGCTATTAGGAATTATAGACCTACATTACGTGAGTCAATTTAATGCTAATCATCTCAACAAAAATCTATGCAAAGTAACAATTAGACCGTTGATGTCTAATATTAGGAGCAAAAGTGCTACGACGTAGCACGTATAGGTCTCACAGGTCTCACACGAACGGAAGTTGGACAAAGTGTGTATATTTTTGTATCCTTTGGTCTTATGGTTATGTAATAATAACAACATAATATCACAATATCATTTATCCGCGAAAGAGTAGGCAGAGGTGCACATTACGGCACTTAATGCCATTTTATAATGTAACACCCACTTTTCACTCTCATGTTATAAGTCCCATGTAATAGGGAGTGAGCCTATTTCCATATAGCGAGCACAATTCCAGATTCCGTGCTACTACTGAGATATTTTTTTAAAATCCAGTAATATATTTGTAATTTAAACTGAGACAGAAAACTAGAATAGTTCATTTGATAAAAAATTAAAGCACATGTATCAAACATTCCTCGGCGTAACTAATCTAAAATCTTCACGGTCACAACCGTCGATACATACATATGTATGAAATGTACAAAAAATCCACCTGTTCACCTCTTGCCCCTAACTGTAACGTTAATTAATTCGATTCCCAGTCAAACGTCAGTGGGACTCGATGACTCGATGACTCGATGACTATTGATACTGTTCCGTCTCGTATGAAGAGCCGACAAGTCGATGTGATCGACTTTTTTGCGGCGACCATTCAAACGAAATTAGATTCGGATTCGTAACGTTTTACATTTCATCGGTTCGACTGCATTTATAGGTACATATTACATGTATGTATGTCTATGTGGAATCGTGTAGAACGTCATGTGTTTTTTAATTTTTTGAAATAAGTAAGAAAATTTGTATATTATTTAATTATTGTTCCTAAAAAAAGGCTCCGAAAAATGTCGTAAAAAATAGATAAAAAAATGGTTTTTCTAATTACTCTAAGGGAAAATACCTAGTTTAGAGCTAAAGGAACATATTTTCTTTGAAATTAATAAAATGGAGTTTTCTTTGCTGCCATTCGCCGTTCTTACAGATGAATTTTGAAAAATCTATTAAAATATCTACCTATTTAATACAATAATGTTCAATATTTATGACATCCAATTTTATATTATAAGTACATCAGTTTTTTATATAAAAGAAGCCGTCAACATCAAACGTTGCGAATAAACGTTAAATGTTTTATAATAAATATGTCCAAAACTGGTATAATATGAATAAAATATAACAAGTTACTAGTTATTTGAAATTATTTAGTATTCCCACAAGCATAGCAATACAAGAACAGGTTAAAAATAATAAATGTCGTGACTTTTAATAAAATAACGAAACATGTGTATCACGTTCATATGTGTACGTAAGTCTTGTACAAAAATGACTTTAATTACTATAGTAAAGTAAAAACTAAGTATGCAGTGTATTTTTTAATTTAAAATTACTAATTACAACATAACCATTTACACCTTTAAGTGAATAAAAACTACCTCCCGGAGGCGATAAGTGTTTATTGCATACTAGTTTTGCACGCGGCTTTGTTTGGTAAACGTCTTTGCCTTTTTCATGGACGCCTCTTAATTAAGATGTTGACAAATAGTTTTTTCAATCGTCCACTAATTGGTAACATGTAATATTGTAACTAAATGACAAACTATTCTGAGTTAAATTGTTAACATCATTCTGTGATGTTCATTTTTTTCTTTTGTTTACAGAATTTAATCCCTTTTAATACTCGCATTACTTTAATTGAATAAGACAAAAGAGAAGCGCTGTACATTGGAGCATTTCTTTAAAATCTTAAACTTAATTATGAAATGAACAGACAAAACAGTAAATCAACTTTTACTAGTACAAATAATTAACAATGAAAGCATTAATTACACGTAATTGATGGCATAAATGCACAAAAATGTAAATAGCTGGCAATTAACAACATTCATAATGACAGATGTATTGTTTAAATGTCATGAGAATAATATAACGAATAGATACACTCGCTTGATAACATTGAGTCATCGTTACACTAAATATTCAGTCGCGGAGAACCTAACGGTCGCGGAGAACCTAACGGGTAACCGGGGCTCCGGCTCGACGTGCAGGAGAAGGAACGGGGTGGTTTTTAGTCAGTAAGAGTCTGACACTCCCTCCCGCCTCACCCAGGCGGGGGCAGTCATTCGATGATTTTCCCCCCTTAAAAAAAAAAAAACACTAAATATTCAATAGATAAAGCCTGCAAAGGTTGCATTAGGTGTAGCATTTTTTTTATTTTTCATTTAACATAACATAATATAACATCACGCCTTTTTATCCCCGAAGGGGTAGGCAGAGGTGCATACAGAAGTAACACCCACTTTTCACTATTTATGTTATGAGTCCCATGTAACAGCGGTTGAGCCTATTGCCATATACCGGGCACATTTCCATACTCCGTGCTACTACTGAGATTTTTTTTAAACCCAGTAATACTTTGCCCGACCCGGGAATCGAACCCGAGACCCCTTGCCCGGCAGTCGCACTTGCGACCATTCGATCAACGAGGCAGTATTTTTCATTTAAATTGACAAAAAAAGGAATGGCGTCATAAAACAATTAACCTCTTGTAACCTCTTGGAAGAATCTATATCAGATATGGATGGATACATAGAAATAGGCTGTAGTCTTATTAAAAATGCGGTATTCGAGTTATTCCATCCTTTTTCCTAAGATTATTTTACTTAAGAATTAAATACAGTCAGCTGTCATCCATTTGATCATTCGACGCATTCAACTACACAGTCTTAAATGCATTGATGTATTCTGTTTCATTTCATAATAAATATTACGGCATTAATTGAAATATAGAATTAAATTCAAATTATTAATATTACATTTCCTTCAGACGTCACTGTAATATAATTTTATTTCAGGTCGTGTTTCGCTAGTAGGCCCCTGCGGCGGCGGGCGTATGGAGGTAGCCAAACAACCCACATACATGATAAGCGATAATAATTTAATATGCCGTTTGCTCCAGACCAAATTGAGCAATTTATACACGTCCGGCGCAGGCGCATGATCAGTTGCGTGCGCGCAACATAATGAATT